ATCAGGATTCTTTGACCTCAGGGAGGCTGAGGTGGGTGTGGCCAGGGTGGGTGTGCCAAACTCAATGTCACTCCTCGTGGGGGGGGGGGGGGCTATGTTGGCCCAAGCACTCTGCCAGCAAAAACAGGCTCCCAAGCTCTGTTTTCAGCTGCCACAACCTCCTGCAACCCTCTGCCAGTAAAAATGAGTCCTCCCAAGCTCCATTTCCACTGGCAGAGGGTTGCAGGAGGCCGTGACAGCAGAAAACAAAGCTCGGGGGCCTGTCTTCTCTAGCAGAAGCACCACGGGCCGGTTCTTCACTGTTTCCAGGACAGCCCCACGGGCCAGCACTAAGTACCCTGCAGCTGGATCTGACCCCCGGGCCTTGAGTTTGACACCCCTGCTTTAGAGGTCTGAAATTAGGCCAAAGGCCACATGAAATTTGACTAGGGTCTGGGTGCTAAACTAGACTGATCCCTGGTCTAATTCAGCCTGTTAGCCTCTTCAAAGACACATGCAAACTTTTTTCCTTCAAAACGAGGATACAGGTTTTTGGGCATGACTTACTTGGACCACTCTATCTTCAAATCCTTGTAGTTTGTTAATGATCTGGCTCTCACTGCATTTTGCCCAGAAAAAAAAAGAAAGTGATAACAAGAAAGTGAAACAAGCCATCAAGAAAGTGAACAGCTGAAACTTTTTAAAAAATGGAGTTGGGGCAAATGCTGATTACCGACAAAGTTTCAAAGCGCTCACTATTTAGCTTCCTGTATTTTCCAAAACACATTCCTGACACTGCATAAGGGCTTTTGGGTATTTGAAACTGTAACATGGAATTGTTCTGAGATTTAAAGCATCCCAGTTGAATATTAAGTTGAAATCACAGAGCACGCCCATCAACAGACAGAGGGGGGAAATGCTTGAGGTAGAATTCTTCTGTTTTTTGCCTTAAAAGTTCCAATAGGAAGAAAATAGTCTACATCAGTTGTAATATTAGAACAACTCTTCCTCCAATCCAGGGACATGTTATGAGCTCAGGGAAATCTTGTGGATCCTTTAGAACAGGAATAGGGCTCTGACCCTCAGGTGTTGCTAAGCAACATTTCTCTGCATCTTTCATCATTGGTGGTGACTGTTGGAACTGGTGGGAGATGTCATGAAGCAATAACTAAGGAGGAGAGCCAATGGCAGCATATCATGCATTTTTACAAATTTCTGATGTCAACATTTCAGAATGCAAAGTACCAAGTATGAAACTTGAATCAGGATTCCAGTTAAAACAAAGTCAATCACTCAACCCCTAGCCTTGCTTAAGAGACACACTTCCATCATGAACCATTATATGAAACCAAACAGGTTCTCTCACCTGTATATTTCACCTTCAATCACTTTTCGGCCACACTGGCCATAAGCGTTGTTGCCCATGCTAAAGACTGAAAGAAAAAAATTGAGACACCGTCAGATAAATATCCAATATCCTGCTTAGCTGGAAAAAAAATGTCTTTTCAGAAATAGCAATAGCAATAGCAGTAGACTTATATACCGCTTCATAGGCCTTTCAGGCCTCTCTAAGCGGTTTACAGAGAGTCAGCATATTGC